TATCATATGATTTGTACTCCCTAGTGGACAGATTCTCAGGTGATCTACATGGACAAACTCTTTACTTGAATATGATTTCGGTGACTGATATCAACAGACAATCCTACCTACATAATAAGTTGTGTTTTCTTTTATAGATTGCTTACCTAAGTCATACTTCCAAGGCAAGGAAAGTATGGGGCTTCCAAGGACAGTAGCATGGGGCTGAGTTAATTATGCAGCCAGAACAAATAAGCTGTAAGAATGTTGGTTTAAATTTGACATAAGGTAGAAGTTCTTCACTGAACAGGTTGCCCAGAACCACTATGGATGCCTCATCCCTGGCAATGTTCAAGGCACAGTTGGATGGGGGTTTGAGCAGCCTGGTCTAGAGGAAGGTGTCCCTGCCCAAGGCAAGGAGATTGAACTAGATGGTCTTCACAGGCCCTTTCCAATTAAAAACTTTCTCTGATTACATACAATTTAAGCTGTAATATCTGCACTTTGGAGGAGAGCTGCTCACAAAGAGTGCAGCAATGAAGAATATTTCTCTTGGCAAAGTTCCTTTAGTAAACCAGAAGGGCTGGATTCAAGTCGGAAATTGCTTTTTGAGGGAGGTCCTGTGGTGTCTATTAAGCAGGATACATGACCAAAACAGTCCCTTGTGCCATCCAAGTCTATTCAACTGTAGCCTGAATTAATGATAATTGTGAATAATTTATGTAGAAGTATTCTTGCAAGAAGGCCAAAGCAGTAAGGAGTAACTTTTACAAAACTAAGCTGTAAACAAGAGTAATATACTGGGCTTGCCTGCTCTTTGTCAAAACTGATGGAAGGGGTGAAAATTTCCACCTTTTTGCAGGTGACCTCATGAGGCAGTGCCCTGTTAGGATCAGCATTGCAACTAAAAGACTCTGCCATATCCAGCTTCAAAATTTTTTTGGTTTTTGTTGCCAGTAGCACTCTGAGATACTGAGTTAAACTTGGTTGAAGAAGCAGAATTTGTAGTAGTCTTTATGACTTTTTCTTTATGCTCTGGTATTATCTTTGACTTTTTGAGTGGTATGGATTTGGGAGGATTTTCTTTCCTTCTTTTCCTTCCCCCCCCCTTCCCCCCCTGAGTATCTGCTACTTGGCTTTGTTAGGAGATGTGGGGGTTTAGAGGGAAAGAGGACTTTCTAATGTTTGCTTCCCCTGAAGTGTTAATGAATGTCAGAAAATTTGCTATATTATGTAAGTTTCATGTCTCTTACCCCTCCTGAAATATAGCACAGAGGCCTTGATGATATCACTAATCATGAATTTGGTCTCAGATTGTTATCTAAATGTATTATTCTGCTGCTTTCCAGTCTTACTTGAATAGTAAGTAAGCTGGTTTCCCAACCCACCCAGCCCTTTCTAAGTGACTTAAGAGAAAACAATCTTGCTGAGTTTGCTGCATTGCTTCAGGGAGGGTAAATTTTATAGAGCAAATTATTTTCTATTGGCCTAGACAAATCCAGTCTGTAGTATCCAAAAGAGAAAAAAACCAAGCAAACAAAGATGCCTAAAAGCCTGTGCAGGCACCTTTAACCATTTATTAACTTATTCTAGCTATATATGAATCTGATGTTGGGTCAAACTCGATTGATTTAAAAATACAAGTTTATACTTCTAAAAATAATCTGGCTCCCATCAATTTGGCATTTTATCTCATTTGCAAGAAATGAGAAAGAAAACTGAAGCTTCTTGGATATCATCAAGTTATTTCATTTTATTAGAAGTTATGTGCACATCACATGTCAATATTTTTGTGATGGAAACCATGGATTCTGGGGTACTGCAACATACAGATCAAGTCAGTTTGCTAGAAGTAGGAACTGAAACTTTTAAGAAAAAGTGGAAGAAAATCAGAAACTCCTATGCTGTTCTGTGTCATATCCTAATTCCTCAACAGGAGTGAAGCCCTTTGGAAGGTCAGGATCCCCCTCAGGCTCACAGTACCAGTGAATCCAAACAGTGGGGATTGAAAAGGAAGGTGTTTGCAGCACCGTGAGGAGGAGGCACAGCCTTCTTCCTCTGCCGTGGGAAGGAAGATCACTGGGGAGATAGCAGAGACTGAAGCTGTTCGTGGGGGAGATGTGGATTCAGTGCATACCTCAGCAAGCCCTTTCAACAGGAAATGAAAGCTACCCAGATAAGGTGTTGATTGCCTCACTGACACTGCCCTGGGCTGCAGTTATTGCAGCTCAGGCTACGTGCAGACTTGAAGAGAACTTTAAAAAAATTAACTAGGAAAAAATCCCACCACACATGAAAATCAATCCCTTTTGTACCATTCTTGCCACAACTTGAAGCCAGAGTTCACTGATTAACCTTAAAATGTTGATAGCATCACAAACAATCCCAACAACTTCAGGAATTCAGCAACTTCATACCTCTAAGGAGGGAACAGTTGTGGCAAAGACATGCAGATAACTAGCACCAACTAGGTCCACACAGGGGGAAAAAAAAGCTTAATTGCTCTGATTTGAAAGTGGGGGCTGATTTTTTTAAAAAACTTTTTATATGTACAACTTGTAATGCAAGACTACTCTGGCTTCACAAGCAACACTTAAATACTTCAGAAATTTTGGAATTAGGGGCCCAAGGAAAAATAAGGAAAAGAAAATGTGAATTTTACCAGTCCCATAACATGCTACAGAGAGAAGTTAGCCTCAAATAAGTATTTGAAATGATAAAAAATGTTCAGAGACAGAGCTGTGGTGGCAAAATGTAAGTAAAAAGTTACAAAGTAAAACAGTGATTGAAAGACAGCTGAATTCACACTGGCATATTAAAGAGTGTTGAGTGATAGGTGATAAACGATCAAGTTCATGTCCTTTTTATTGCTGTAAGCAGAGACATTAAGATGATGAATCTGACCAAAAGCATCAAAGAGTGCAAAAAATCACAGGATAGTTTGAGTTATTTGGAGAATGATCTTCAAATGCTTCTCCCTTATTCTCCTTGAGAAAGCCAATTAGTAAAAACTAAGTGAGTTTGTGGAGGAATATACAATGTAGACAGACTCAACAAAATAAAGACAAAATATTTTATGTTGGGAAGAGATAGATTTATTAGTATTAAACTCCTCATGAGTATGAGCCCAAGCTGGGAAAAGAAGTTTTGTGGGATCACTATGAATCTGTTTCTGTTATTGCATTGCTGCGAAACTGCTCTGAGTCTTGACTCTATATTCTTCTGGGTATAGCTAGAAAGTAAGATCAATATTCACATCTCTACTAGTATTATTAGTTCAGAGAACACATGAACCGTGGAAGAGAGTGTTCTCTTAGTCCTCACCTATTGCACTTACGCTCTCACCATGGAATGCCTTGGAAAAAGTGAAATGGGTTCCTCTGGAGTGAAGTGAAACCAAAAGATGTGCTCCTCTAATGTCTTTTACTTCCCATCTGAAGTAAAATCCCTGAAACATTTTAGCCCAGATGTTGAACCTTCAGCAGCAAGTGTTTTGCTCTAGAGAGCTAATCTTTCTGGACCATACCACTTGTTGCTGCAGGAACAGTGGAGTGCAGCTCTTTCCACCTAAATTTAGATACATTGATGCCAGCAGCTAAAAGGAAATAATGACTGCAAACCCGATTTACCAACTGGAAAGATATAGCCTCTCCTCAGATAATCATATTCTAAAAGCTACTATTTTCTCTGCACAAATAATGAGAAGAGTCTAAATAATGAGGTTCTGGGTGAAGGTTCACTCAGTGAATCCTGGTCAGTTTGAACTTATAGTATTGGGCAGAGAATAGGAAAGAGTTTCACAATGAAATGGCTTGAGTTTTCTGAGACCAGATCAACTCACCTGTGCTGGAGATGGTACTTGACCTCATATTTTTCAAGTCCTTATCAAATATTCTCTTTTTAAACACTGTAATTATTAAAATTATTTAGTTGGCTGCTTAGCATGGTAATTTAATCTTTACTTATGCTATACTAAAAGTTTTTTTTTTTTCTTTGAATTGCAGGCCAGAGCTACCACTGACGTTTCTTTATTTTGTATCTATAAAGAGGAATGTCTCAATATTTTCCAGCACTGAAAATACTTGCTCTTTTGCATTCTTTTCATCACAGAACTTATTATGAACATTTTATTAATTGAATTGTACTATTTTTACTCTATCATATCAGGTTTTATTTGTCAAGCAGTGAGGTCTTTTACAAACAAAAAACACCTAGTAACCTGGACTCAGTATCCTTGTAAATATAAATACAAACATGAACTAGGAAAATAAAACCATACCTGAATTTAGTTTCTAAAGTTGTTGCTTTTGAGTTAATTAGAAAAATATCAATTATACCATTAATGACTTGTTTCCATGTGTCAGAAATACTGTTAAAAAGTGGTATAAAAATATTCATATTGTGTCATGCTAAGTATGTTTTCCCAAACTATCTATAAATAATAACAGCAACACTTTCAGAGGTGGATATTTATTTGTTTGTTTTTTATTTGCAATGAGTCACTGACTGAGGAATCTTATTTGCATTTTACAGTGTGGCAGTAGGTACAATGACTAAGTAAAACTGAAAAAACAGGGTTTTCATGCAGAGAGCTAAAAAAAATGCACTGGGACATGCAGTTGCCTAAGATTTGACCTCTTCAGTTAAAGATCTATTTTAGTAAATCCATTTTATTAATATGCACCCCAATGCCTGGGGAACCTTTCTGTGGTGCCACAGAGGCAGAACATAATTTTAAGAAATCTAGTCAATTTTTTGGGAGGAGAGTACCTGCAAAGAAATCAGGAGTAGTTGGAAGGACTCTGTTTCAGGTTCTGAGGCGAAGTAAGCTAAGAAAACCCACAGCAGATGGCTAATGAGTGTAATCATATTTATCATTTCTCACTTCACAAATTCAATGGCCATTTTGTGCCAGGGAACCTGGATGTCCTTTTAATCCTGCTCATCTTTGTCTCTTTCTCTTTCTCTTTCTCTTTCTCTTTCTCTTTCTCTTTCTCTTTCTCTTTCTCTTTCTCTTCCAGTGATTGCCAGCCTGATTCAGACAGTGTTGTGAAACTGGAGTCCCCAAACAGACTGTTGCTCTTTCTGGCTATCCCACCACAAAGAAATTGGAGAGACCTGTTTCTTCTGCCACCTGATGTACTGTCTGTTTCTATGCCACCTGATGTACTTTCCAAGATCTGTTTTAAATTTAGAACTTTGTAAGGAAACCACAAGTCTTAAAAGCTTTCTTAGTGCATGAAAAATTGAGAAAAGAGCTTGTGTTCACTTCAAACAAATGTCTCTTCTGAGATCCAGCTTTTATTTTGAACTGGAACTCAAGCTAACAATTTATGTCACCTAAACAAGTCCAGCTTATATTTTCCACTTCAAGAATAATTTAATGTTGGGCAGCAGCATTTTGGTGCACTTTGCAAGGGTGTAGGATCTTGCAGTGAGGAAATAAATTCTTACTGTAAGGACCATGAAACTGAAATAATTTTAAATATAACTCCTTGGGGCAGGCAACCTGAGGGGAAATAGCTGAGAAGAGCAATTTTTATGACTGATTCAAAGTCTGTTTTAAAGGGCAATTTTTTTGAAAGAGGTGTCTTTGAAAAGGTATGCAAGGAATTTGCACATTCAAGGTGCAATGCATTCTGAAAGTATGAGCTGCCAAATTCAAGTCCAGATGATGAAAGCAGAACTATAAATGGAGATTGAATGGGGACATTTGAGCAGTATAGCGACAGCATACAGAGAAAAAAAGAAAAGAAATTTATCTTCTAAGATACTTCCCCTCCACTAAAGCAGGAGGCAACATCCCTAGAACACCAAGGTGTGGTCAACATGGGACATGACCCATGGAGTATGGTTCTGTAATGCAAGGTGAAATTCTCTGGCTCTATCTGCCGTTTACTCTATTCCATGCAAAAAGAAAAAAAAAGAAAAAAAAAGAAAAAAAAATAGATAATAAATAAAATGCATTATATAAACACTAAAATAATATTTGTCTGCCACCAGCTGAGATACTCAATCTCCACTGTTTCCCCTGAAGCCAGCTGTGTTTGATTCTGGTTTATTTGCTCCTCAGAAGTGCTTAATATTGCAGCTCTCTACCTGTGTCAGACCTGTGTAGGAGTGTGCTAGGACTCAGAGTCTTTTCTTCCTGATGTCTTTCAGCACTGCAGATGCATATTAGTATCTAAAGCAATCTCTTCACCTATGCAATAAGAGAGCTGATTCTACAAGCTTTTAAAGTACTTTAATCTGTAAGAACATTAGCTTCAAAGTGAGCACCTTGGTGCTTGGATTTGGAAATACACTTCAGAAGATTGCTAAATTTGCTCAAAACACTCAATCTGAATGAAAGAAATGTCTTGGTCTTGAAGTGTGCCTTATCCTGAGAGTGCTGACATTTGCTTTAACACACAGCCTACCTTTGGGACTTTGGATTGCTGGTTAGATGTCACCTAACACTTTCTTTACTGCACATATTTGAGGAGGACTTGAGGATTTATCTTCTCTTTTGCCTTTAAAATGTCTTTAACTGTTATTTCTATGTGCAGTGTCCCAGAAGTATGCCAGAAACAGAGAAAGGTGACAAGCATCTTGTAATATTAATAGTAGCAACTAACTTTGGTCTGATCTGTAAATTATTTTCCTTTAGCTTGTGTGGCCCTTTTGCTCATGGGATGTATGAGAATGTCACTGTTGTCAATACATAAGGTGTAATAAAAATTAAATATTTAAGATGTAGTTTTACTGTTGGTATCCAGAGAAACCGTAGTATTTGTAGACTTCCCTGTTGCACAAAATATTGATCTTTATATAAACACTATAAAAAAGAAGCACTTTGAAAAAATGTTTAATGAAAGATTAATTTTTTTTAGTGATAACCTTGTCCAATAGACAGAAAAAAATCTATATTAGCATCTGAATTGCTAGGTAAAATGCTCTAGGAACAAAACGCATTTATAATAGACAGTAAAATGTCTTTATTTAAATATTGCAATCATATATACCGAAATTTAAGGTCTGTGTGTCAAAATTCCTCAGCAAAGTAAGAGGATTTCCTCACAAAACTTTAGAAAATTGTTTACTAATCCAGTGAAATATAAGACATCTTTCTTTTATTTGTTTATTTTATATCAAGTTATGTTTATATCTTTTCTAGCTAGAGCTAGAAAGGATATAAAGAGCTAGACAACCTTCAAATTAACTAAGAATAAAAACAAAAATTAGTTTTAGTTTTTGGATAATAGAGACCATTTTCTTGGTTAATTTAATGTGTTTGCAGGACATATTGTTAAATATAGTTCAACAAAATCAATATAAATTACCTCAAGATTATAGTTTTTCATATTTCAGATTACATCTCTTTTACACAAGTTTTGATACATAAGCAATACATTCTGTCTCTGTGGAGTTGCATTTATTGTTTAGATTTAAGGGCTTAAAGTCTTCAGTTGTACTACATACTAACACTCCTCCTTACTTTACAGAGCTAATATGGCATGGAGGACTTTGCAGAAGTCATCTGGGTTGTGTATGTCAAGACCGAAAAATATGTACCTTTAATTGACCAGAAGTTTACAGTCAGTAAGAGAAATATTTCTCAGTTGCATGTGGACACTTTTCACATAGCTTTAAAACCTGAACACATAAAAATTAAAATATTAGCTTTGTGTATACTGATTTTATGGAGTGAAGCCAAAAATTTCTCCTCTCCTCTCCTCTCCTCTCCTCTCCTCTCCTCTCCTCAAGATCCAGCTGTTCCACAGATTCCTTCCCCTTCTCCTGGATCCCAGCCTTTAAATTCTGCTACTTTCCTACTTGAACTTTGTTCCTGCAACATTGTCATTGGTCGCTGTCAAGCATCTTACAATAAAAAAATTACCAAAAAAAATACCTTCCATATTCCAGAAACAACCTTCAGGGTATGAATCCCAGTGAAAATTGAAACAAATTGAATTCCCCTTAAGGTTTCTCATTGAGAATAAGGATTGCAGGCATCTCAAACCTGCCTACAACAGAAGGAAGTGAAAGGTGAAAGAACGTCCCATTTGTTGTTTAAATGATAAAAAAACCCCAACTGTTTGCAAGTGATATTCAGGAAACTGGGAGCCTTATTTGTGCTGTTGAATGCTCGTGAAGGCAGTACTGCACTGGAGAAGTCAGCTTGCTCTGGTGACCGCCTTTCCCAGCTGCAGGCAGACGGGCAGGGCGTGCTGAATGCCCACACAGAGATGCCCCCTGCCTGGGTGACCTAGCCCAGACAGCATCTGCAGTCCTACTTGAGGGGCCTCTGCTCCTCACTCTGAATAAAAAATCTGGCACATCTGTAAAGTTTTTGTCAACACAGATCTTTGTGCTGTTTCCAGGAACCCAAAATACCCAAGACTGGCACTGGCATATCTCATGTGTTGTGTCAGCCAGTTTTGACTATCAAGGGATTGCAAAACAAGCATGAAAATTAAACCCGAAACTGCTTCAGTAGGCAACTTGAAGAGACACTCCTCTGCTGTTCCCTTTTTCATTTCTTTGCTTTGAACAGTGTTTCCAGTTGATGGTAAATTTCCAACCCCCAGCCTCTCTACCAGATATCTAATATTGGGTCTTTTTTCTTAAAACAAAAAAGCCTTTATGCTTGTAAAGTTCTGTGTTCAGAGTGCTGAACACAAGACTGATCACTCTACTATATTCTCGTACTTAACAGCATGACTTCTGTCCTTTAAAAATTTATTTCTGAAACACGTCCTAGGTACCATTTCCCTATCTTCTCTTATTTATTTCAGTTTTTTTTCTTTATTTTTAATTTCTCCTTTCTGATGAGACTAAAGGGAGGGCAGGATATTCTGATCCCCCCTTTCAGATTCCACTGTGGGACAGAACCTCTCTGTAAATTGAATCTCCTCTTTCCATGCTGAGAAAAAGTTGATGTCTAGTGCTTGGGTCTAGTCCTGTCTGTGGGAAGACCATTGCATTGTTTTCCATGAACCGCAGTTCATTGTGAAAGAGTTCAGGGAATGAAAAGAAGGCACAGATTTTTTGTTTTGTTTTGTTTTGTTTTGTTATCTGAAATAGCTCAAAAAAACCCCCATCCTAGATGACCAAAAGCATTCCCTAGATTTAGAAAGAAAAAAAAGTAGATTCTAAAATAACAATTTATTGCAAATAAAATTTTATAATTCTTAAGAGTTAAAATATACTTCCTTTCCATTATTCCAGCATTCAATTTGATTAAAAAGTGAAACATTATATTGAGAAGGAAATAAATATTTGGTGCAAAAATGGTTGTTACTGAAGCTTGTGATGAAAATAAGTGAATAACAATAGACACTATGGTGTGCAAACTGAATTTCAACTAGCATTTTAGCAGAAGTTCATTCATTAATTAGCCTTGTTTCTGAGAGAACAGCAACCTTCAGCAGTCAGGTTACCTCTGTGAATGATGAGCATGTAGCCTATCCAGAAGTTATCTGAGTTAATTGAGATTAATTTCTTGTGAGCAGAGCTTAAGTCTCCTGGGGTCTCATCAGAATGATGGTACTTCTGATTTATACCCTTGTAGCAATGTTATTTATAGAAGGAAGTTCCTCAAAACAAAATCAGAATATTCCTTACTTCCCCTGCATGACAGCTGTTCTACTCAGCAATATATGTGTAGTTTCTTTCTTTCTCAGAGCCTTAAAATCCTTTGCTTTATATGGATTCAGAATTATTAAATGTAATGAATCATCAGAGGATAGCTATCAGCAGATGATATCTAAAAATGGTGTTGAATTCTCCATGTTAAATACGAGATGAGGATTGTTTGGGTTTTTAAACTTATTTTTAATTATTTTATTACAGAATCACACAACTATTTAGTTTGGAAAAGACCTCTGAGATCATCGAGTCCAACCTACGATCAAGCACCACCATGTCAACCAGACCATGGCACTAAGTGTCACATCCAGTCTTTCCTTAAACACCTTCAGGCATGGTGACTTCACCATCTCTGTGAGCATTTAATTCCAATGTCTAATAGCTCTTTCTGTGAAGAAATTCTTCCTAATGCCCAACATAAATCTCCCCTGGTGCAGCTTAAGACTCTGTCCCCTTGCCCTGTCACTCGTCTGGGAGAAGAGGCTGACTCCCGCCTGGTAACAGCCTCCTTGCAGGTGGTTACAGAGAATGATGAGGTCACTCCTGAGCCTCCTCTTCTCCAGGCTAAACACCCTTCAGCTGCTCCTTGTCAGGCAAGTGCTCCAGACCCTTCACCAGCTTCACTGCCCTTTTCTGGACTTGCCCCAGAATGTTTTCATACCTTTCTTGAAGTGAGGGGCTCACAATGACACAGGACACGATGAAGATGGCAAATGAAAGATTGAATTATGCAGTTTGACTCAGATGGGAAAATCTGGCTGAAAAGCCATGGATCAGGGCAAAGCTGATTCTTAGAGCAGCCATCAACACATGCTCTGTGCAGCTCCCAAATGTTGTAGGCTGTTTGCATCTCTTTTCCTCCACCTATATCCTCCACCTGGAGCGATCCAGACAGCTCCCTCTTTTATCTTTACAATGTTTCAGAGACTTTGTGGAAGGTCACTGGCCTAGTGAACACAAGTGTTCAGAATTCCTACTGCACTCCTGAATGTTTCAATACATGACCTCAACTAGCTTTAAGTCAGGTATCTTGAAGCTTTTAGATTTAGGAGAAGAAAGTGCTGTGGGAAAGCTATCCAGCCTCTTTTGCAACAGGATGTGTCTTCTGTCTCTGTCTCTTCTTGCTACTGGGAATTTAAAACACAATGTGGGTGCTCTATTAGAAGTGTGAAGGTTTATCTTGAACCAAGAGACACTAGGCATTTATAAAAATGATAATAAAGAGGGAAGGATCTGAATCTGACGAAAAACAACAGAAAGCTGGTAGATGCCCTTTCTCAGACATGTGAAATCCTGGGACTCAGTCTGAGGGAAATGTCTGGGACAATAGGTGAAAAGAGGGCATGTCATTAAAACATGCCATGCTAATGAGTGGGTGATGCCTCCACAGAGGCTGTGTTTGTGTGTGTGCACACCCACCATTCCCTGTCTCTGTATTTTTTAGTCTCCCAAAGGAGTATAAATACCTTGAAAACTTGAAATTTTTTTATGGCATGACACATCTTATCAAGAGTAAGAAACTTTGAACAAATTAGATATTTTCATAGAGACATTGAATCATATATGGATGAATCTTTATTTTTAGCTGATCAAACCTCACAAGAGAAGAAATGCAACAGAGAACTAACTCCTCTTATATTTAACATAATTTAAGGATTTTTTTTGGCAGCACTACAAAGGAATAATCTTTGGTCTGCAAGTGTATGCTGGAGTTTTTTGCTGGTATTTTTACTGAAAGAAGTTGCAGTCTTCCCTCTATTGAAATCAAAGCTTTCCCCCAAGTCTGTTCACCCATTTCAAGGCCTTCTGGAGCATGGGCGTGGGGAAGTTTGCAATTTCCTCAACTCTTTTCTAAAGCAATCTGTGCCACTGCCTACAAAAGAAATGCATGGAAATCACATGCAGACAGAGGAGAAGTTCTACTAAATGTCAGAGACCTGGTGCCTGCGCCAGACTTAATACCATTACTTGCAGTCCTTCCTCTAAAAGGGAAGAGTTCCCTATTGCTGGCAGTTTGCAGAGTTCTTGTTTTTTTGTTAAAACACCTTTATGAAAGAGACCTTAGGCTTCAATATCTGTGCACAATTTGAGCATCAAGACTTTGGAGAGAGGCAGAGAGACAGCAGTCCTAATGTGGATGCTCCTCTCTGCCACTTGTATTGGAAAGGAGCATTCCCTCCCTTTCAGGACTATAAGCTAGCATCCCAGGCATCACTCTGGCACCAGAAAAATCTGCATACTCTGTACAAGGCTCCAAACAGGTTTCCCTGTACCAAAAGACAGTGAGGTATTGGCCTCTTATATTGAAAGGCTTCCTAAGGAAATTAAAACTTCAAACATATTAGATGAAGAACTGCTCCAACTCAAGCAGGTATTTTCTAGATCCATGTGACCAGAAGTCAGGCCAGTTCTCAGATAGAATGCACACAGACTGATTCTACTGTAAATGTTTGATTTGTTTGTACTTTTTTCAGGAAAGGCACAAGGCTTGAGTGAATGCAATGTATCAGCTGTTTTCAGGCCTAAAAGGAACTCCTTTGAGGTTCAAAGCTTTACCTTGATTTTGTGTATATAATATTTACCTATCTTCTCATATCTTGGAGCTACCAATAAGACCTCTTGCAGTTGCCATAATTTCAAAATTTGGAGGGATACTCATGTGGTGGTGGCACAATTCACCAGAGCTTCAAAGGAAACCAGTAATTGAAAATCCAATATGTAGAAGTTTTTCCTAGGAAGAAGTAAAAGACAGTGGAAAGGTCTCACACATATCTCTACTGTTTGGATTCGGAAACGTCTGAAACTAGACATTCCCCCTATATCCAAGATTTTAAGTGCTGCTCTAAACTAAAAGTTTGATATTTCTCAGTCCATCATGATTATCTCTTGTATCCCTTATTTTTATTTATGGAAATATGATACACTTATCCAAATAAATGAATACC